TGTTATAATACATTAAGTATAGGAGTATTGTAACCACGGTAACCTCCCTGGGCTCAGAACTCTTTTATTAAAATGAATGACTAGTTTCATCAAGATCATGACAGGGGTTGACTGACGTCCCTTACATTTGTATCAGGATCCTGAGATGATGGGTGAAGGAACAATGGTTATTGATACCGTTTCCTGTCGTCTTTGGTGCTTGACGAAAACACACGCATTTGGCAACAGAATTGTAGTCATGTGACTGTGACCTGCAGTGGACAGTATGGAAACGACTTAGATCACCTGGCTACCAAAACACCTCACAACCAGGACACAGTTGAAAGTACATGATGTGGGCAGAGGGCGTCTTTAAGTAATCGATAGCTCATCTGGAATTCCAACGACAGACATGTCTAAGATACCAGCAGTTATTTACCAGATTTCATACATTGAAGTACCGTTTTCTTTCGCTGATCTCTCAAATTTCAGAATAGTGGTGCATTCATCGGAAATGCTGTTTATCGTTGCGAAGAGTTTTCTCCATTTGTCCTTGCAGGATCCGCTGGTCGTAGATTCGGTTCCCAGATTGCTCTTTGGCTTTATTAAGGTTGTGAACATCCATGTCATGGACCCCTTCGGGCTCCCTCAGACATCACACTGAAACCGACGTCAGCCTATAAAGCTGTCATTGCGTATACTTGTACATCTGTTTGATAATTAACCCTTTGGATACGAAACTTCGGACACAGAACATTTCCAAAGTCACCTAGTGTGTGAGCGTTGTATTGCGACTGGTCGCCTATTAGTGTATCGTCGAGAACGCTCTCAAACAATACCGTGATGAAAAATGTCCAGAATTCGGGCAATCACCTGTCACTAGAGCAGGTAGCTTGGTTATCATCGTTATCAGCTACCACAAACCATTCTCTCGCAGGTAGCATCATTCCACGTGACGAGTAACACTGTTATTCTTACAGGTGCTGAAGGCGATAAGAACTGCCGTGTTTTCTTTGTAGTTAGAAGACTTTGGGGGTTGTTGAAATGCTCTCTGTTTAGCTCCAGGTTTAAGTGCCTGTCTGCGTATTTCTGTCTTTGGGTAGGGTCGGTTACCATGTTGTAATTGCTTGAACATCGTCTTCTAAAATATATCTCTGTCAGTCTTCCAAAACGGAATGCACTGATGGTATACTTTTCGTACACTAAAACCCATGTATAATGTCATAAGGGTTAACTCTAATCTGGGAGGTGAACATGAGATTAGTCTTAAAAAGTATCTGCCTCTACGCCAAATGCGTCGTCATATTTAACGTGTTTATTTCATCTAATTCAGGGAGTTTTAAGTCGCGTACCAAAGTTGTTCACATGCTTGTAACTTCCAACATCCGGTTCCGATCCGACTGACAAGCGCGACTGTAAGCAACAGACATCCAGCACATCCTCAACAGTGGAACTTTTGATTAATGCCCTTTACCAGTCATCAAAACGTCTTTACCAAGAAAACATTTTTTTGTAAAAGCATTTAACCGTACTGAATGTAACAACCATTGAAATTGTAGTAATCTATAACGATCATTTATAGAAATAATTCACAATAAATAAATCCATCGTATCTGTTCCCATTCCCGTATCTATTCATGTTCACGTTCAGAAGTCTCGCGCTTCAGCACACAGAGCCACACATCAGTATAGTGGCGTTGGTTTCAGTCGGCCAGGTATTCGCCGAGCCATCATTGCCGCTGGAAAGCCATTAGGCAGACACGGACTCTCTGTCTGGCCACAGTCAAAGCTTAAAGCTGCTATCCTTTGCTGAATCTACAAAAGGGATTGGCCCTATTCAACACACAATAGACCAAGTGTCAGGTATATTTGTATGGGATGTGGATGTTTTAACCTTGGTTCTCTGTTCATGACCGGAGCAATAGGTGCGTGTTGGTGTCTCCACAAAGCACTGTAGATAATGTCTTCATGATACAATAGACCAAGCTGACCTCGACACAGTCTGGCAGTTGCCCATGAGGTTGTGGGTGATTCTGTAATGACTAAGCATTACAATGACCTTGAAGAACGGCACGTCCAAGTTGCCAGGGTACAACGTCACACTGCCGACGTAGGCCCTGACGCTGATTCCTTTTCTGGTCCCAAGTACATGTTCTAACATATTTGTTTAATCACCCTCTTGATAAATTTCGAATATCATTTACTTCACGGCGCCACATACAGACAAACATCTAGTGAACTGTTCAAACAATATTCGGCGATGGGGTTGCCGACAGATTAAAGCGTTCGTTCATCATGCCGAAGACCCAGGTTCGATTCCCCTAATGAGTACCATGTGCGAAGCCCATTTTTGGGTGTTTTCCGCTGTGATATTGCTGAAATATTGCTAAAAGCGGCGTAAAACCATACTTACTCACTCAAACAATATTGTATTATACCCACAGGAAATTGGGCATCTTTATTCGCGAGGGGCCGTAAGTAACTGGAGTGAAACGAACCCCGCCCGGTCCCCTTTACTGATAACAGTTGATGCTAAGCCATCTAGTGGAACTAGGTCACTCGGTGTTAACTAGCAGCCGTTACTGGAGTCACTGAAGAATCGCTCAATCGAGACAAGTTTTGAATACCTGGATTATCCCCGCAGACAGATATCATCGAAACTGAATACATTACAAATCTGTTTCACCCCAGTGAAAGATCAGTTTCTCAGTAGAACACAGAATGACATGCAAATTTAAGTGTACGTGTGTACAGTACTGTCGATTTACGGTAGACAACTGTTAGAACGAACTCAAAAGGACCACTTATTTTAGTCCGCTACCACTGTAGTTCGTTATACACATCGTTCGTTATATCCGTCAGTTCGTTACCACTGTAGTTCGTTATACACGTTGTTCGTTATATCCGTCAGTTCGTTACCACTGTAGTTCGTTATACACATCGTTTGTTATATCCGTCAGCTCGTCACCACTGTAGTTCGTTATACACATCTTTCGCTATATATTCGTCAGTTCGTTACATGCGTGTTCGTTACAAACGTCGTTTACTGCCATACTTTTGACAGTGATTCCGATGAACACAATCAAAAGTTTATGGACTTCAGTTAGATGTTTATACACACAAAATAGCAGCAGAACAAGAATGTCATCTCTTAAATGCTAGTTTTGAGGTTGTTGATGGCCACATGCATAAGGTGCTCCTATAGCCAAGAATCTCTTGAAAAGAACAGAAAACTGTTGGGGCTTGATTCACTTGAAACACCTTATTAAAATATGCTTTACAGTGTAAATCACTGATTGGGGTCAAGGTGAGAATCAGGAAGATTTCTTTTGTCATCGCCGACGATATTCCTTTCCTATTGACTCTAAATGTCTTAAACCTCCATGTGAATATCTGTATCATATCCGACGCACCTCCCGACCAGACAGGTTAACAGCAGACAACACAACATGTAGTTTAACCAACGGGAAGCAAGTGTATTTCCCAGCTGCCCAAATGCTGGTGCACTGGTATACTTAATCACACTCAACTCAAAGGAAGCAACGATCATCATGCAGTTATCTTGAAAATACATCTGTTTTGCATGTTTCGTAAATATATTTCTGGATTTAACCCTGAACAGTATGGTTTGATAATTACCTGATATATATAAATGGATCATATCTATATTTCAATAGCCACAAATGCACTTAAGCGGTAGGCGCTGCTGACCTTGAAGAAAACCTGAAGGTCAGTGTGTGACGTCATGTCTGCGGGAATATTGAACAAGTTACAAGTTTTACTTTTCAGCAGTCTTTTTCATTCACGGTACACATATAAATAAATTCAATTTTCGTTATTACATACCCGTCCGTTAATATGGATGGGTGGGTGTTGACATTTACTCTCAAAAGGCGTACAATGTCTGAAGCTCATATCCTGTGTTCCCACCATGACAGTACTTGAACACTGCATAAGGTGACGTTACACCATACTCACATACTCACACACTCACACTCACGCACTCAGTCTTCAATGGGAGTAAACTGTTATTAAAGGGCAGACTTTTTCGGGAGTGGCTGGAAACGTGTATGTTAGTGTCACACGTCAAAATTCTTGTCATAGGTTCATCATACAATCATACATTTCTTGGTAGTTTCGCACGCACTACAAGAACCAATTTTCGGACGTTCTGTCGGGCGCTGTTGGCACTGACAAAGTGACGTTATGAGAGTCAGTCAGTGGAGAGATCGACGAACCTCAATAAAGCAGTGCCTTTCCCACGGTTCATTGGCGAAGCCAGGATTTGGTTCAGTTTCCACTTCAGAGAATTCACCGACAGATGGCGCTTGGGATAGGGGGAATGCAAACCACTTAGCCCGATATGTGTTCTCAGCAAACATCGTTATTAGCTAGTTAGAGCAGCCTTGTTTTTAGGCGTGCATGGATGTAACCTGTCACGAAATGTGAAACACATTTCTCATGTGTGGCTAGACAGCCTCCGTCAGATTATAGACTTTCGAAATGTTTGAAATTCTTTTGTTAAATAACCTTTCAAACTTGGTTGCATTAGCCCGCTCCCAATTTCATGGTTTCATATTTGTTACTGGAATTGATTTAATTAAGTCATGGGACAATTAAGTGTAAGTGTGACATACAAATCCACCCTTAGAAGTTTACACCGCTTCTTCCGAAATAAAACATCTCCTCAGTGTGACATTAAACCTGAATCAATTATGAATCCTGCAAAACATATATTTTAACAGTGATGTGCAGAAATTACGCCAGATGTGTTAGGAATATGAGACGCGGAGAATTAGATTTGTTGATTGTCTCACGATGTGAAGATCTACAATGAAACTAGTTAGTCTGGAAGCCCTAGCCTGGGTTTAAGTCAACTATGAAACTAGCTAGTATGGAAGCCCTAGCCTGGGTTTAAGTCAATGAAACTAGCTAGTCTGGAAGCCCTAGCCTGGGTTTAAGTCAATGTAAATGTCTTAATATGCATCTTCTGTTCAATGGATCTTCGGGTTTTTTCGCAGGCCACTGGCGTATATTCGAGTCCCAGGACCCCAACAGACGCTATGACGATTCTCACCTGATCGTCATGAGGGAACTGAAGGAAGAAGACATGAGGAAGCCATGTGAGTCATGAGACAGAGTTGTTCCCTTAATTTGTTCAACTCATCTGTTATGATTCTGAAAAAAATGGCTAAATATGTTGTTTTTATTTTAAACTATCGTCTTGATGGCGCCAGTGTTTTTATAATACTGACTAAAACTAATGTCATGTAAACGATGATGATGATGATGATGATGATGATGATCTGTTCCAGCGTTTATCAACAACTCTAGCCACCAGGCAGTAACTCGGGGGAATATTCGAAAGGTGGGTAGGATTAGAATCAGTTAGTTTCGCTTCTGATAAATCTTTAGCACCTATGTCATGCCCAATTGGCGAGTCTCAGAGAGAAGTCTGTTAGGATGTTTACTCTCTGATGCTAGGGGGCGGCGGGGTACCCTAATGGTTAAAGCGTCCGCACGTCACGCTGAAGACCCGGGCTAGATTCCCCACATGAGTTCGATGTGTGAAGCCCATTTCTGGTGTCCCCCGCCGTGATATTGCTGGAATATTGTTAAAAGAGGCGTAAAACCATACTCACTCACTTTAGACTTTGTAACTGAATCCCAGTGGCATTTCAATCCTTATTCTGCGTATTTCTTTGGTTCTCGTGATTCTTATGAACTTATTATTTTTGTTGCAGGGGGAGACAACTCTGACCCCTTTTCTCATAGAGCGAGCGGAGAGAGTACATACTATGGCGCACTGGTGCAGCAAGCTTAAACCCCGAGCTCCTGACCCGTCCACCATCACAGAGGACAAGCTAGGCCAGATACTCGTGGACGACAAACACAAGTTTCTCTACTGTCAGATTCCGGGCGTTGCTCAGACCGACTGGAGGCGAATTTTGGTGTTTCTTTCCGGACAGGTGAAGGTCCCGTCTCACCTGAAAATATCAGGGTCGGACGTACATTCAAAATACGGAAAGTATTTGAAAAAATTAAGTGACTTTCCACCAGCGGAGCGAAAAAAAAAGATTCAGAATTATCTCAAGGTTATGTTTGTAAGAGAACCGATGGAACGGTTAGTTTCGTCCTACAAGACTAAGTTCGAGGCGAAATACAGCAAATATTTTCACCAATCATTCGGGCGGAAAATTGTGAAGAAGTACCGGAAGAAACCGACCAAGGAGTCTCTGCAGAAGGGAAGTGACGTCACGTTTAATGAGTTCATTCAGTTCGTGATAGACTCAGAACATTCGGAGGAGAATCTCAACGAGCATTGGCAGCAGTACTACAAGCAGTGCCACCCCTGTCTCGTTTCCTACGACTACATCGGCAAATACGAGACCCTCTACGACGACGTGAACCACGTCCTCAGGAAAACAAACGCTGCACCCAAAATAAAAGGTCCTCTTGGAATGTCCAATTACACATATCAGGATAAACTTCTGAAGACCATGTACAAGACGGTGTCTCCCAAAAATCTACAAAGACTGTGGAAGATATATTACCCCGATTACAACTTATTTAGTTATCAGTACCCGGCTGTGTTGGACAACCTTCTAGACTTCCAGGGAATACCTTGAGACCAACATGTGTTGTAATTGGGCAACGAATGCAAGCTGTTGACAATATGTGACGATGCACTCAATTTTATGATTGATACAATGCAATTGCTTCAAAACGTGTCAAGCTTGAGGTTGTGTATGCAAGACAAAACACGATGTTACTAGTTTAATGGATGTTGAGTTGCGCATGCCCAGTAATGTCACGAATGAGGATCTGTATGTAAGATATAGAACAGCAGCGAGGTACTGGTTAACTGACAAATGCCTCCACCCGCCCAGAAACGTCATGGATGACGCTTTGCATGCAGGACAAATTACGGGGTTAACTTTAACCCCCTGAATATTATGGATGCGGTACAAGTTTTGACCGTTACGACATTTTGCAGCAACTATCCAATGTACAATGCTTATGCTCAAGTTTTTCTCCCGGTACTGTTGTCTCGAAGATCGGTTATGTTCGTGAATGGAACTTGTGTTGTGGCATCCGTGATATTCTTCCTCCAGATCTCAGACGGATGCCAGTGTACGTGTGACTCAGCGTTTTAGATGGCTATACTCTGCATGCGTATCAACCTAAGAATGTGTCAGTATGTGTGTCGAGGGGGTCTGTCAATGTACTACTCGCTACTCGCTGACATGGTATGCCCCAGTACCGAGGAATATCTGCAAGTAAATACTCTTCAGTTACACTGCTGTCTCTTTTAGAGTTAATGTTTCCAAAATCAAAATAATGACGTTTTACAGTTTGTATTTACTGACCTTAATGTGACAACCATAAAATTTATTTTGTTATCATACTACTTCGAAGCTACTGGTGAATGTTTCGGACATTGCATTGTTTACTGTGGGGTGTGATAAACCTAACCAGGACTGTGTGATGTACATGCGGTGTTGGCGCCGTCTGTATTCCCCGACATGGTATGAAATAACTGCATTCACACTGATTGGTCTCATTTGTACAGCTTATTTATAGATATTCACGCAATTGGTGCATTTGTACATAGTGTATATAATACGGGAGCTTCTATTTACCGCCAACATTGGATATAACGATACCAATGACCCTCTGCAATCAATCTAAAGAATAGGTTATTGCAACTAAAAATATTCAACACTTCTAACATACTGAGGTGGGGCTGCTTGTAGCTGCTATTACTCAAGCAATATAAAAGCTGCAGACACTGCAATACGGTTCACACACTGCACCCGTAATCAAACTCGAACATGTAGGCTCATGGAGAAGGGTTAATAATCCTGATTTGTTTCACAGTTTCAGTTCACGCCTGCTCGAAGTCCATGACATGCTATGTCTCGGTACACTGACCAATATGTGTTAAGCTGGCCCTCGATTGGCCCAGTGTTTCGCCAAGGGAATTAACGTTGAAGTCGTGACCATGTAGCCGACACGCGACGTAACCACAATGTTGTTCTAAGCGGCGTAAACACAAAACTCACTCACTCATCCGTTTTCGCATACTACCCCCTTCGTGATTGCCAAAGGTTCGTTATATCCAGTACAACGCGGGTCATTAGCTGTGATGTGCAGATACTGCACTGGGTCCCGTTTCACAAAGTTACGAGATCTCGTAACTTTTCTCGTAGCATTCGTACCTCCTGTGGGCGGTGGGGTAGCCTAGTGGTTAAGGCGTTCGCTCGTCACGCCGAATACCCGGGTTCGATTCCCCACATGGGCACAATGTGTGAAGTCCATTTCTGGTGTCCCCGCCGTGATATTGCTGGAATATTGCTGAAAGCGGCGTAAAACTAAACTCACTCACTCACTCGTACCTCCTATGTTACAGTATAGAAGTATAGTGCTACGAGAAAAGTTACGAGATCTTAGGCTTACGAGAGCTTTGTGAAACGGGACCCTGATTGGTAACTATAGCAACCAAAGAATGGGAAAGATAACATTATCAAATGATATACTAGTCGCTATTGTAGGGTTATGCATGAGGTATACATGAGGGCCTCTGGCTATAGCTCACCTGAACTTGCTCACGCGTTTAAATATGTATTATAGATATTTCAGTGTGATGGGGTTTCCACGTCACCACTCGGACTTTATGTATATATTCTGTGTCATAAGACATTGTTTGAGAAATCGCAAATGATGAGCGCACATTCATTAACTGTGAAGGTGTGATCGTTGTTATGACTCAGGCAAATTACTCTCAACTAGTGTCTCTGAGCGCCAACCATCTGTACATATTGGTTCAATGATCACATTGTGTTTCGCATGTCCCGAAACCCGTTAACATATATTGAATGATCTGGTGTAACGAGTTTCGCCTCTCATCCATCAACTACTTACCATGGTCTGGCTTTTGGTATTTGGGAAGGGGGTCCCCCCTCGAATAATGAAGAAAACTAACGTTAACTCGCGTTTAACAAAACAAACATGTTTTGGGAACCCATGGTGCGATAGGTGACCGCTGAAATCAGTCATAGATCGCATCGTCGGACACAGTGATTCGGTATTGTCCTTTCCTTTTAAACAACATGGTCTAGATAACTGTCACGGTTGGACATCTGTCCTTGATCGTTAACGATCGGGAATCTCCGCCCGATCCGTCAAGTGCACCCGTGACATGCCGTTCCATTTGTTACCATTCAACCTTGTGATAGACTATGTACATGTGAATGGCTGCGTTACAAACAGACACAGCCTACTCGCGGCCGACCTCCATTGTAGATGTTAGAACTCATTCATGCCGTCCATTGGTGTTATTTTTGTTCATGTTGATGTCTGACGAAACTTTATTGTCTTATGTCACGTGACCATGTCAGTGTCTGTATTTGTGTGAGTATACAATTTATCAACCAAGGTTTTTCATCACGAGGCAGGTTTCAAGAACCTTTGAAGACGCTGGATTGACGTGGTCAGTCAGTACTTCACGATTTACAAGGGCCCAAATATTGCATAGTGTAAAGAAACATTATCCGAACCTAATCTTGTGTACATTTAATGCATAGTAGTGTTTTACTGAATACTTACATGCTACTTTAGCGTTCGTAGCTAAACACGCGGATACCACAAACCCTCGTTATCTCGAACTCTCCCTATCTCGCCGTATGGTTTTAAACGATGTGACCCTATTGTCCCTGCAGAATCCGTATAGTTGGCGTCAGTATTCCTCATGTGCCGAACTGCAGACAACTCGACTGTTGTATCGACCTCCGAACTTTCATATAAGGTAGTTTGAAGACCTCTTCTTTATTGACATCATAATGTAGAGAATGCGTATAGAGTCATGTTGGCACTTTAAGGCTCGTACCATAATCGGACAACGCCCTGAACTGTTTGTTTTGTGTTCATGTTTTGTTCATCATGTTGTTCTGTTGGTTGTACATTGACCTCATCGCTGGAGATGTTGTTCACGTACATAGTTCATCTGTCGATTTCTTGACATGCGCAGTATGTATCATCCGGGGGATGAACTCCCATTGGAAATATTTGTACATTGCAGCGGGAAATTAAAAGGTTTTTTAACTAATATGTGTCATGGGTTGTTTTTTTCGTGACGAGAGGGTTCGTTGTTCCTGAGAGGTAAGTGGCAAAGTGGGGCCATTTATCACTTTTGTGAAATAGAAGTGACAAAAACCTTTCCACATTCATAAGAAATCTCTGCTAAAAGCAGAGTCGATTGTACAGTTGTGACCATATCCAGCATTGGAAATATTCTAGCTGATTGTCAATCGGGCCAGTAATATATCGTTAAAGCTAGCTGAAAATCTCAGATAATTTGTTTCTTAGTTAATGCACATGAATATAATGAAGTCAATTATGAAGCTGTCAAACATCCGTCCGCAAAGGTTTCGCGATATTTATTATCTCTTGTCACACGAAGATCGCTATATACAAAAATGTTAATGGGGTTGCGCAAACGAGGTTAAGAACCATTCCAATACAAATGTAACGTTTAACATCTTCAATTAACAAACATCACACCAAGTCTGACCGATGTGCATTTTGATATTGATATTTTGCAGGGCCAGTGAAGTATGATGTGGGCTAGCAACATGTTTACTTAACTATAGTCTGTTTGCAGTGAAAACGTACCGATGAATGTCACTTTAAACCAAAAAGTAAAACAAATAAAGTGGAATTAAGACTGCGAATCCTCATGATTTTACCTTGCCAATTGAAAATTAAATCTCAGAATTTTATTCGACTTAGGATAAAAAATGTTTAACAAACGATCATAGTTTCACATGGCTGTTATTGGTTTGTATTACAAGGGGGTGAACTATCAGCCATATTGGCCAATCAAAAACACAGCATACACCAGGAATGCGACTGTAATATCGTCGGCATACTGTAAAATATGGAGTGGAGTCTTGGAGCGGAGTCTTGGAGTGGAGTATGGAGTATAAGTGCACTTGTCACTTCTGTAAACACTGATTACTGTCTAGAAGGTGTCCTCCCATTACGCAGACAGCCAGTTCGCAGACACCTTAAAACAACAACATTTACGGTTCAGTGAACAGATTATCTACTACCTGTTACCTACACATTATAATGGAATAGTCCAAGTAAAAACACAGGTACAAACTGAAGCTATATTATTTATTTTGAAAGATGGACGAAAATAATTTGAATTTTTATTGCTGCTATATATAAAAAGTGTATTGTCATAAACATTTCGGTTTAACCTTCTAGTCTACGGGGAGTCGGCATTAGCTTAGCTATTACAAATTGCGACACTGTTGTATCATGTAAATCAAATAAAGACAAATGTGAACCTAAATATTATTCGTATCGAATAAAGAAGTTATATGTTTTGCACACAATATTAAGATATATGACGAGTGCACGATTTATTTAGAATAAACATTTAAAATATGACGCATCATGTGACTGTGGCCATGGCTTGTGAGAATGTTTTTCATTACTTCCTTGAATGTCCAGTAACTGTTACAATCTTTAGAAAGTAATGTTAAAATTAGAACACTGATTCGTCTTAATCGTATCTTACATGGCAATGAAGGTGTCTTATTTACTGCAAATCAGAATGTTTTCAATTATGTACATACACGTATCTATATCTCCCCAACAAAACTTTTTCTCAGTTAACGTCTGTTGTACATATGCTATTATTGGGAGGGGTCTTTTCTATCAATAAACACAATCAAACCTCTCAGTGACAAACCTGTTTTATATTCGACCGTAATTGATAGTAAATCAATTTTGAGAAGAGAAATCATTTATCATTTAATCACAACAAAGTTCTATTTACCCACAATCAAACTTGTCAGTAACGAACCTGTTTCAGGCTCACCCTACTCTACTCACTAGACAGTGGACTGTTCCATTATGCCCATAGGTGTTACCCTAATTAATCTTCTAGTTCAGTGTCTGTCAATTGGGTGTCTGTCAAATGGGTGTCTGTCAATTGGGAGATAACCGTCTAGAATATGCCATTAATGGTTCTTCCCAGTTGTCGTTTATACCTCCGGAATCACCGGTTTCAAAAGTAAATATCTTATCTTACTCATCTTAGAGATTAGTTTTTCTTTTTAAGGCTCTCGTAGAAATGATTGTTAATGCTTGTCAGTTTACTCCAAACTTATTAATAAATCGTCACAAATTCGAACTCTGTGCAATTATACTTTCATTTGTAGACAGCAACGTAATCGAGATTGTAAAAATGTTTACTAGGAAATCCTCAGCAGCATTCCTTTAGCTCTCTGACATTCTGAGGGCAGATCGTATCAGTGATGTGTTTCCTTTAATCTGTCACATTCCAGTGGACTGCCGATACATAACCTGACAGAAAGTCAAGATTTTCGAAGCCATAGAGAGCTGATGAAACTCACTAACAATCAGCTTGCAAAATATTCTGCTGCATTTATTTTTGCTTTTTTGTTTGTAAATTCACGGATGTAGAGAGATGGCTATTTCTGAACTAAAAGCAAAACAATTATGACTTAGGAAAAGTTACTTTTGCCATCACTGACAATAAATCCAGTTCTTGAATAATATAGTGCTATGTATCTTATGTAATCAATTTCTTTGTTAAGTAAGAAATAAATAATTCATGCAATAATAACTATTATATTCCCTGATGATTAGTATGTCTTAGCATATACCTAATTTATGTACCTATTCCCTTCCTACCTCTTCCTCTACACAAATTTGAATTTACATGTGACAATGTTATATATGTCGTTTTTTGGCTAATAAATAATGCCATTATTAATATTTTGTTTACAGGTTGTAAATAATTTACATGCTTCTCCATCCATTCATCAATCCTTCCATCTATTCATACACATTTTTCTTCTTGATGGCAGCGTGGTACTGTTACCGAATGACATTTCTGGAGTTGACAGGGCTAATTGATACGTGTATACAAAATGCCTCCTGTCTTCTAATAAAACTGATAACACCAACCTGCTACAGATGTGAAATGAATGTGCTTGTATAGCTACCCTTATGATCAAAACAAAACAAACTCGGTCACCTAAATATTTACATTAAGACTCCATTCCGAGACTCCACTCCAAGACTCCACTCCAAGTTTTACAGTATGCCAATATCGACAAGGACTAACACCGGTTGGGTAGCCTTGTGGTTGTCACGCCGAAGATCAGGTTTCATTTCCCTCTATGGATAACATGTGTGAAGCTCATTTCTGGTGACTTCGCTGGA